AGACATGGCTTTAAATAATCTAAATCCTTTTGTTTGATTTTGAAGCTTTCTTTCTCCCTTGTTTATAGTCACACACAACAGTTTAGGTTGTAATCTTATCACCAGTAAAACTTCACCCGAGCCCAGTGTAGACCCTGCTCCATTTAGCAGCATTCCAGACTCGCACCAACACTGCGATATTAGGCTGGGAATGTCAGTCCACCACTCCAAGCATCATCTTCTATTTGTAAGAAAATTGATAAAACTGGATTTTCTACTTGGCAAACTTCCAAACAGAGCTAAATCTTTTAACTTCCTCTCAAAGGAATATTATTTTTTTGAAAAAGAAAAACAAACTTGAAGAACACATATAAATCACAAAGGAAAAAGAAATATTTAGGGATTGCAGTTAAATAAATGAGATCTCTTTACAAACAAACTGTAATTTGCACTGACACCGGATGACACAGGAGAGCAAATGAAACCCATCAATCTAGGCAACTCCTATACCAGTCCCCCGGCACATTCATTGTGATTATTATTTATTGTTTTCTGTGCACTGACAGCATGCCCAGCCGTGTACCAGGCAGGCAAAGACCTGCTCCTGGCTCTAAATTAAGCAATCAGAACAACATAGATTTAGTTTTCTTAACTGTAAAACCAGACCATAGAGCATGCATGAATTTAGTAATAACATTTATCTCTTGAGGAAATATGAAATAATCTCCCCTACCAAGAAAGAGGAGTGGAGACTCAACTACAGACGTCGTAGTTATAAAGAAACACTCTGAGGCTTTTTATTATCATTTTAGTGCAAATTTCAAACTGTATCACTTTATGTTTAAATCCTTTTCATGACTGAAGAGGCGAACCGAAACTGTGTATACAGTGGTCACCCATGTAGAGTCTCTACGCGCCCATCAGCAGTGAATCTGACGACTGGTGGCTATTTATCGGGAAATAGTGCTACTTTCGGTCATATGTAACTTGCTCACTTGTCCTCTGCCCAAATCCAAAAAGAATTTGAAATTCCCGGTGCATTTGGCAAATACAGTGCCCTGCAGTGGGTAAAGGCACAGAAGGAGCAAGCTTAACAGTGCTGGTTTCCAGCCAGGGGTTGGCCCTGGTAAAGAACCTAACTCCCTGCCTTTCAGGTTCCGTCTTATTAAGGGAGGGGAAATGAGGTATCTCTTGATTACATGCATTTAGTGAAATAGCAGTTATTGCTGATATATACTGAGCACCTATGGTATGCTATGTAGTTAATCCTCAGGTAATCCTATGATGTCCATGTTATTATTGCCTTTATTTTTCAAATAAACAAGCAAACAGAAAGGTCAGTGATTTTGTTGAGATCACACAGATTGCAAACGTCTGGCATTTAAACTCAGGCATGCACACTCTCTCATTCTGCCATGCTGTGTGCAGACCTCAGCGTAATCCCAGGCACTTAGTATGTGCTCAATAAATGGCAGCCTCTGTTAACCAACCCACAAGTGACGAGAGCAAGACAGCCATTCTCCTGTAATGTCATACAATTTAAAATAAAGTCTAAGGGGCTGGGGATTTAGCTCAGCGGCAAAAGTGCCTGCCTGGCAAGCGCAAGGTTGTGAGTTCGGTTCCCGGTACCGGAGAAAAACAAAACAAAACAAAAAAGTCTATAGTTAGTATTTCCCACCTTTTGTTTCCCACAAGTAACCAATACTACCTTTTATTCAGTGAAATTGACATATGCCTTTCCTTAGATTTATTTTTAAGAACAAACACCATTTTTAAAAAATTTCATTTCCTGGAATTTTAGGAAACAGTACCAATACGATGAAGCGTGAATCTGACTTTTTGCTGCTTGTACAGATTTTTTTCCCAGTGACCCTGGAGTCGTTATTTATAGTTTCCTTTGAAGATCAGAGAACCCCAGGTTGCTTATTGCCCTAATCTTCAGAAAAGATCTGTGAGAGAATTTTCTGATCTCAGAGAAAACATCAAATCATATGAAACTGTTCAGTTACCAGGCCGTAAGAACAGAGGTCACTTCTGCTAAAGAATAGATTACTCCAGCTTCATCATGAAAAGGACCTTCTCCTAGGGAACTCCCAGGCGGGTCTGCATTTAGAATGTGCACCAGCTGTGCTGGAAAGAGTGGCGTGAACCTTTGGAGTCCCGTGGTCGTTGGCCTTGCTTGCACAGCAGGCAACATGAAAGAAATTCTGGGAAGCACTTCCGCGTAAAAATTTTATTCTCGTACTCAATAAATGAGTTAAAAAGCCAAAAAAAAAAAAAAAAAAAACATTTGCACTTAACTTCATCACCATAACTTTTTTCCCTATATTATTATGAGCTCTGCTTAAGTCTATAAACTCAAACTCCTGAGGTTGTAATTTGATTGTTAAATACTCAGATAGACACATTTCATAGAATACATCAGCCCTTGAGATGCGTGGCTTATAGTGGTCAGTGCTCATAAGCAGCTAGAGAACTAGGAGCTGTGGCAGCTGGCCGGTGACTGCGAAGGGCACAGTGCCAGGGCGGCAGGGTGAACTGCGCCTCCGGGCTCAGGCTCCCTGCAGCGCTAGCCTTCCTCATGACCCGACAGTAATGCAACTCCCAACCTGCTAGGTGTCCGATGTGCTGAAGCCGTATGCTCTGAAATCTGAGAATGAATTCCAAGGGACAAAGATGGTTTGAGAGTAGGAAAGGTTTATTGGGGAATAGGAACAGCTCCTGAGAGACAAGAGGGGTCCCAAGTGCGCAGCCACCAAGGTCTTTTGTCAGGGGTGATTGATACAACAAAGTCACAACATGGATCAAACTGCCATCAACCGCTAAGAGCCGCTTAGCCAGTATTGGGCCGACAGAGAAGCGGTCCACGTAGCAAGGGTGCCTGGAAAGAGCAAAGGCATTTTTGGGAAGGGGTGGATCCGGACCCACTGGTCACCACTTGGGGGACTGAACCCTCTCTGGATTTCCTGCGCCGGGCAGTCCAATTACAGCACGATTCCAAGGTACTGCTTATCGGGGAGACATGCAGGCCCGGCCACTGCATCTTTGTCTCAAGGCCTGGCCTTCTTCAGGAGCGCCAGCCACAGTCCTGATGTCTTTATTTTTGTGCTGACTTCCTTGGTAGCCCGGCCCCTCTCTGACCATGTATTAATTTCTGTCTAACTCAGCAGCCTAGGACACCCACCCGGGGACAAGGCTGACAGGAATGAGGCAGCTCCCACACTCCTCCCCTCCCCTGTCCTATTGTATTCCCTTTGGATGTCCCTCCAGAAGTGCCCCTCACACTTGTCCACTTCATCAGGAGGCCACTGACTTCCCCAGGCCTCTTCTAAGACCAGCCTCGGAGCCGTCCTGCCGAGCTCCTTGGTGGGCGTCTGTGGGCTGGGCTGAACCAGGGCACGGTCTCGGCGTGGGGGAGGGGGCCGTCTCTGTGTAGCCACCATTCTGGCGCATTTGTAAGCTACAGAATAGGACCGAATAGTCACATTTGCCCGTCTTCACTGAAGAAGAGACAGAAGGTCAGTGAGCAGGAGAGACAGGCAGGGCTTCTCTGTGTTCTCTTTGTTCTCTGCTGAGTCCGCAGCACCTGCACGAGGGCCTGTCACAAAGTACATACAATATTCATGCGTCAAGTGAGTGAATAAAGGAACTCTGGGGTGAAGCAACTCCTGGGGGTAAATGAGACTCAAACCAGTTAGGCAGGGGCAATACAGAGAGAGAAGACAGATGCTTGTTCTAACATTAGTGCCCAGGTGGCCCTACTGGGTCAGGCAAAAAAGGGAGGGATTCTTCATGCTTGATCTTAGGAAGACGCAATAATCCACTGCAGGATGAAGCTCACGTGTTCTGGTGCTCATATTCAAGGTACTGCTTAATTCAACTAAAAACAAAAACTCTTCTATTACTAGAACTATAGTTTTCTGCTTTATTATTGCTTAATATTTCTAATATACTAGCTAAAAATGGGCTTCTTATGCCCTCCATTAGTTTTATGTGACCTGTAAATTGGACACTATTTTATTAATTATTAAAATAAGTAGGACCTTTGATCTCTAACCCTCAGAACCCTGAGAAACCCTTAGAAAAGAAGGCTGTACAGTATACTGTCCTCCAGAAAGCTCTGAACTAATATCTTGCTTAGGTGAACAGAGCTTCCCTTTCCATTGTCTGTGAAGCAAGCTGATCCTTAGCCTCCCTTTAAGAGGTGATGAAGTCAGTGTCCATAATAAAGTCAGGATCAGAGAGCAGAGGGGAGCCTTTACAGCTCACAGTCAAGATGTATTCAAAACTCCAAAGGAAAGTATCTTTAGTATTTGTCATTTGCTGTTATCAATATTGCCTTCTCCCCATTCATATATACTTGCGAAGTCATTGTTCAGCAAAATAAAATCAGCTCTCTAAAAGCTAAGTAGAATACCACTGCGATTTTACTAATAGTTCACTTTATACTTTTGAATGCTTGAAATACACCGAAGATTGTAAGCACTGCAGCAGTTGAAGACATTACCTGTCACATTCACTGCACAGGACAGGATCTACGCTGTCAGGCTAGGGATTGTAAATGCCAAAGAAGCGACGGTCCGGTGTCTTTAGCTGTGCTAGCGTGGCTGCCTCTGTGTCCTGAATCAATTCCACACACGTAGGTTCCATCGTCATTTTGACTTTGGGGAAGAGCCGGAAGTCATCTGGTGAATGAGTTCGGTGAGGCACCATAAAGTTTTTATTTGACAGAGATTGCTGCAAATGTTTTAAATCAATGCAGGACATCGAGGCAGCCATAAAGAGACTCTCACGGAAGAGGACTTCCAGAACTGCTTCAGAAAGTGGCAAGAGTGATGAGATAAGTGTGTTCAACGTGAGGGGGAGGGTTTTGAGGAGGACTTCATCACAATGCGTCTTTTACTGTAATAATGAACTTTTTTAAATATAAGCATTCACCAGATGTTTCGATCACACCTTGTATATGCACAAAACTCACTCATGCAACAGATATTTATGGAGCATCCATTGCGTGGGAGTTATTGTCTCAGATGCTGGATGCCCTCTGAGAGCAGTCACGCTGTCACGTGCATACACGGGAGCTACGCCAAAACTTCGGGGAGGATTAGAGGAGGCCTGGTCCAGAAACACACTGCTTTCAGAAATGCAGGGTGAGTCGGAGATGCCAGAAAAGAGGCGAAACGCGGGATGATGGGACGGTGGGATGATGGGAAGGCGGCCCAGACAGGGGCATCCAGGAGAGAGGAGAAAGAACAGGGGATGTAGAGTGGTTTGGTACTGCAGATGGGGGGACAGGTGTGGGAAGACAGGAAACTGACGGGTGATCAAGTCACACCGTAAGAGGCCACAGAGGACCTGCAGCCAGGGCAGGTTCTTTGGCCCACCTCCGAGGAGCTGGAGCAGAAGCCCCTGCGCGGACCTGGCCCGGCAGCAGCCGGCGTGGGCGCAGAGGGGAACGGAGAGGGTCAGGTCAGGAGGACGCAGCAGCCGCCGGGGGAGAGGAGGAGGCTGCGGACGTGCAAGGCCGCGGGAAGGGGGCCAGACACAGCCGGCAGTCAGAAGCAAGCCCCGGGTCAGCAGGCTGAGCACCGGGCCCGCGTGGCGGGGCTGTGAGAGGCGTGTGCGGCGGGGCTGCGGCCGGGAGGGTCCCGGGGAACGCAGGCTGTGCGGGGCGCCGCGATGCCGCGTCCGGGAGAGAGAGCTGGCGCCGGAGCGGCCGGCCTTACTGGAGCAGAGGCGAGGGCGCGTGGAGGAGCCCGTGGGGAGAGTGCGCTGAGCCCCACGAGGCCGGCCCTGCGGGCGGGGTCCGGGCGCCCCAGGACCCGCAGGTTCCCGGTTGCGCGCGCGCCCGGGGCGCAGAAACCTTCCCTGTGGCCCGCAGCCAAATTCCAGCTGCCCCACGCTCTCCTCTGACCTCACCGAGCGCGGCCGCCTGAGGTTTTCTCCGCCCCTGGTACAGCGCTCTGGACTTCCGTTTAAACTTGGGGCTTTCTAAACTCAGGGTGGAGCCTGGATGCAACGCTGCGTGCGTGACCGGGGTCCCCTGCTGCGGGGTCCCAGCCTGGAGCCTCACCCCACCCCAGCCTGCTTAGCCTTCTCCCAGCCTCCCGCCTCGTCTCTTTCCTCATGGGAGGTTCTGGGGGGCCTTTCAGCGGCCGGGGGAGAGGCTGGGGCTCAGGGAGGTTTTCCCGTATCCCTCTGAGATGACCTCTCCGCACAGAGAGGTCAGACAGGTTGCTGTAGGAAAGCCTAATTTTTCCTCCAACAACCATACGAAACCTTTAGAAGGCTTAAAGGTCACAAACATTTGTTATATCACTAATGTTCCTTCTGGAAATTATATTTTTGGCTGATAGTATTTCAATGTACTTAGTTGCTAACATAATAGCCAAAGAACACTTATCCTTTATCTTGTTTAATGCCAATTACCCTGTCACTGTTTGCTTGCAGCTATTGGAATGGCTTCAAATGTGGCTCAGGACAGATGAGCCGGACTCTGTGGAGGCCATAGAGATCTACCTCTACTGAATCAGCTGCTTCCTGTTGAATTTTTTAAGCAGTATTAATGACTGACTTCTGTACAGCCAAGTAGTTTGATCATGCTTTTTATTTAGTTCAGTGTAGGAGAGGAAAACAATCTCATTAATCATTCTTTAGGATTCAGTTTATGCATGCAGTATAGATATCACGTTTTCTGAAACGAGTCTCCGTTGAAAGTCTGTGATTATAAAAAAGAAGAGTAGCTCAGTAAGTAAAATAGTTTTGTTAGGAACTTTATTTTCTAAAGCAAAAGCAGATGATGAGAGGACTTTCCTCTTCTGATCTGCACTGGAAAGCTTTATTACTTTTTGTTCAGTGTAGCATTATAATGCCTTATGCCCTTATGAATATGTTTTGTGTTTCATGTAAATTAATCATGCTCTCACTCTTCTATTTACGTTTAAGCCTCGGGGACAAGGTTTCTAAACAGAATCGAGGAGGAAGTGTACCCACCCAAGGACGTCATCACCAGCAAGGACCCAGGATGCGAGGCCTGCTTGGGGTCTGGCTGTAGAGTTCAGTGACAAGTTCCTGAGGCCACGAGGCAGCCAGTTAGCAAGGTTTTCTGTTTAAGTTCAATTCGTGTTATGTAAGAAACTCAGAACAGACATTTTTTTTTAGTACATCTCTTAATGACCTGACTAGGATAAATTGGATGCACTGATAATAGCTATAGTATGTACCGAAAAGTACTTTCTAAGAAATAGAAACATTGCTCCAGTGGAATGATGAAAAATTTATCATCAGAAGAGAGCTCGGCACAGGGATGGTGGAATAGCAATAATCTACTCAGGACCCGGCGTGATTTTATTTTCTCTGAGGTACCGTCAAGGACCATTAAGCAGAAGAGGCATTTATAGAATCATAAGACTATCAGAGCTGAAAGGGTCATCTCTAGTCCTCCATCTCAGTTTTATAGGGCAGGAAGCCCAGGCCTGCTTACCCAAGGGTAATCACACTGTGTGAGTTCTGTCGAGGGACAGGTGTATTTGGAGAAATGGGGACCTAGAACTGGACCTATACGCTCAGGTGGACGTAGGGAAGGAGAGATGCCCAGTCTCATGGGAAGAACATGGTACATGAAGGGCTGGGTGATGGAACATGCTGCCGATGTCCAGGTAGCACATAGCAGTTAGTAGGAGGCCAGTCAAGTAGGACTTGGAAATCCAGGTAAAGAATGGACCCTGAACAGGTAACAGAGGCATCAGTCATTCATCTTGAATCCAGAGATAGGAGTTCCATCCCTAAAATGGAGGGAATCTAACAAAAGAAATACAGGGCTCCAATTCTCTAAAGACTGGGGTACCCGTTAGGTTAAACATAGATCATGAGTACTGAATTAAGAGGGGAGTCCAGGCTGATATTGCAACTTGAGAATATGAGAGATGCCCAGCCCTGGGGTACAGGCCAGGACTGATAAACAAAGTGAAAAATGGTGTGTTCTAAGATGCTAGGACAGAACCACTACATTCCTTTTCAAGGGAGGATTTTTCTAAGAAACTAGTATGTGGGAAATGAAAAAAAAGTCTCAAGAAAATACATTTGGTTGCTGGGGCTCAGGGAGGTTTTGCATCCCAGATCCAACTTATTAAAACATCCCAGATCCAACTTATTAAAACATTTTTGTGCATTATCAGGTAACTGTTCACATTTGACAGATGTCTTATAAAATACCCAAGAGTGAGTGGCTTATAAACAATCATTTCTTATAGTTCTGGAGACTGAGAAGCTCAAGGTCAAGACATCAGTAGATTCAGTGTCTGGTGAGGGACTGCTTCCTGGTCCTTAGTCTGCCATCTTTTTTCTGTAACTTTTCATGGTGGAAGGGGCAAGGAGGATCTCTGTGGACCCTTTTACAAAGGCATTAATCCCATTTTGAGGGCTCTGCCCCTCCATAACTAATTATCTGTCCAAGATCCCACCTCTACATGCCATCATACATCCAATAGGATTTAACATATGAATTCTGAGAATACACAAATATTTTATCTATAGCAACAGATGAACCAAATCTAGAAATTTTATTCTAATGATTCTCAAATATATCTTAGATTAGTAACATAGGGATGCAGAGAGAAAAGAAAAATTGCCCTTTCTTTATTAATAAAATTAATTAGTCCCCTAAATTGCAGTACATGCATTTATATAGAAAACTTCAAAACAGCACTCTTGCTTGCATTTCCAGAAACAGGAGTGAAAAACAATGAAAATGTAAGATGCAGGTGAGTGGAGTAACTTGTGTTGATTGGGAATTAGTATTACGGAGTCCTTACAGATGAAGAAACTTGGAACTGAATGATAACGTGACATACTGGCTAGTGTACATCAACTTGACAGTTGTTTGATGGAAGACAAATCGAAGTGTTGCTGTGGGGATATTTTTAAAATATGAAAAACATTTGTATTAGTAGACTTGAATGAAGCCGATTATCCTCTACAGCGTGAGTGAGCCTTGCCCAGTCCATTGAAGACCTGAAGAACAAAGGCTGCGGTTTCTCGAAGGAGTTCTCACAACTGCCACCCAGAAACCTTGCCTGGATTTTCATCCTGCTGTCCTGTGGAATTTGCACTCACGACTGTAAAAAATAACTCTTGCCTAAGTTTCAACTCTGCCAAGCCGCCCCACAAGTCTAACACTTGCCAGCCCCTACATTCACAAGAGACAATTTCTTGAAACAAATCTATCATCTATCATTTGTTAGCTGTCTGTCTTGTTGGTTCTGTTTTTCCGGAGAGCCCTCGGGAATACACATGACCTATTTTCACACTAACAACCAATCAGATGCAGAAAAATCTTCAGCATCTCAAGTAACTTGGCCTGGTTAAGCCAGTGGCAGTTAGATTTCTTTTTTAAAGAAAAATTTAATTTTTTTGTTAGTATGTGTTTGTAGGGTATAATGTCTACATTCATTTTAGGAGCAGGTGGTTGCACTTAACGTATTTTACTTCTTTTTATTCCCCTTCCTCTTCCTTCCCCTCCCCGTGTCCAGATTCATCTCCTCAGTTTTCTTTTCAGTTCTTGCTTGTGACACATGATGGTCACATCCCTGTGGGTAGTTGGTACATGTACCACAGGACACATCTTCATTCTTCATTCTTTTCGTGTCCCCTTCCCTTCACCTCCTCCCACCTCCATCTCTTGGCCCTTTTCCCATTTGCAAAAGATCTATTTCCCTGTTTCCTATTTCTTTTTTAAGCATTATCAGGAAAACAACACAGCTCCGTACATTGTACTTCAATTGCTCAAGCCAAGACTTGATTCGTTTTGCCCAAGTTTGAGTCACAGTAAATCTTGCAACTGCTGAATCCCTGCCATTTTTCTTCTCAGAGTTCTTCAAGCCAAGTTCTAGTGGGGGATTTGTCAAAATACTGGGAGGCATGGCTGCTAACAGGATTTGAGAGTTTGAAGGTCACTTTTTCTGATCAAAACACATTAAGTACTGCCAAGCATTTATATTTTAAAGATGGTCATAGGCAACTGATTTATTGTTTGTCATCAACCACAACACATTTAATTAAATGAGGGATTTAAAAAAAATCTTCTCCACTCATATTTTTATTACTTCATAAGGTTGAATGCAAGCTAAAAGGATCTCAGATTTAGCTTCCTGGTTTTATAAATAAAGTACAGGAAAAATGAAATGATTTTTGAAATGATTCCCTCACCTGACAGAGGGAATTTTTACAAACATGTCAAATCATGTTCCTACCCACTCAAAAATGTCCAAGGGCTTCCTAACTCATGTTGAGAAAAACTAAAGTCATTTAAACTATATGAGCTACTGCTTGATCTGCACCTTCCTTCTATGCCCCGGGTTAACCTTGTTCCACCATTATCTTCCTCAGGTATGTAGGCTTATGTAAGAGAGAATGATGCTGAGATTCTTAAGGAACTGATCCCACACTTGTTGGAGCTGGCATCTCTGAAACCCACAGGGTGGACTGGCAGGCTGGAGACCAGAAGAGAGTTGATACTGCAGCGAGAGCCTGGAGATAGAATTTCCTCTTGAGGAGAGCTTCCATCTTTGCTTTCAAGGCTTTTTACAGATTGGATGAGGCTCACCTACATGATGCAGGATCAAAGGCTACTGATTTGATTGTTAATCTCACTTAAAAAATAACCTTCGAAACAACATCTAGACTGGTGTTTCACCAAATAATAGCCTACCCATTGACACATCAGATTTACCACAACAGTGGTGAAGTTTGAAGAAATGGACATCTGCGTTAGGAGGGAGTGGAATGGAGGAGAGAGAGAGAGAGAATGGTGCGGAAGCAGCAATGGGGAACAAAGAAAGCGCCTACCCTTGGCCGGCCTGATTCACCCTGGGGTAATTCGCTACTTCCTTAATGTTATGCTTACATCTAGGTGTGCTTATATGTAGATGTCCTGCAAAGCCTTATGCACTCATAGGTGGGGCTTTTCGGAGCTGGTTGGATCTAGGGTGTGTGATGCTGAGATTAGGGGTGTGTGGTACTAAATTAGGTCACTGATTGGAATTCGCATAGTTCTGGGTGTGGCTGAATGGATTTACTGAAGACGGAAGCCCCATCACTGGTGAAAGTGGCACCACCAAAAATGCTGGTAGCCTGGATGCCGTAAAAAGGAAAGGGAAGTTTGCTGCTGTTGCTTGCTGCTTGCTGCCTCCTGCCTGCCCTGCCAAGGTCTGTTTCTCCTCTGCCAGTCCCCTCTGCCATGATGCCCTGCCTTGGAGCCAGCCAACTATGAACTGAAACCTCTGCAAACTGTGAGCTAAATAAACCTCTCCTCCTCTAATTTGGGTATCCAGTGTTTTGTTCCAGAACAAGGAAAGTCACTAAGACAACAAGAGAGTTTTATTCCCCTGCTGTGTAAAAATGGGATTGGCTCTAGAATCAGTAACCAAAGTAACAAGGTAGGCATAGCACAATTTTTAGATGTTAGAGCAAGGTACGCATGATAGCTAAGACTGCTGACACTCTAGCCATATAGATTTAATATTCAATCAGCCCTCCAAACCTGTGAGTTCTACATCCATGAATCCACCAAGCTTCACATTAAACGTATTTTAAAAAAAACTGTGCTGAAGATGTACAGACATTTTTGTTGTTCATCTCTAAACAGTTTCCTATAACAACTATTTATTTCACATTTTTAATGTCTTAGATATAAGTAGTGCATAGATGATGTGAATTATATGGGAGGATGTACTAAATTATATGCAAACCTTATGTCATTTTATACCGGAGACTTCAGCATGTGTGGATTTGGGTATCTGTGGTGCCCCTGGAACCTAGTCCCCTAGATATAGAGGGAGGAATATACTCAATAATTATGAACACTTGGCCTTATTTCTCCTTATACCACATATAAGACACTAAATATGGTACATATCACATATATTATAACAAACGTATCCTTTATGTTTATGTTTATCCAACATATATTTGTGTTTCCCTTACTTCCCTTACTTTTAAATTACAAAAAATAGCTTTGCACAATTGCCGTGCAACATGAATACTGGCTATTTGGTTCTAGCAATAGCACCAGTGGTACTGACTGTGAGCTCTCTCCTGCTATTGCCAGGGCTCATTGGTGCTGTGTCTGAGTGAGACCTCCTTCTACCAACATCGCTATGGCCCATGGGGCTGGATAGCGCTGCGCAGAGTCTCCGTTTCAGCCCAGCCGGTCAGCAAGGCCAGCGTAAAGTTACCACCCTGATATCTGGGGTCATGTTATACCTATGCGTTACCTCTTACACACTGTGTCCAGTATACTTGTACACTGTGTAGACTATCTTTTTTTAGCTCTGGGTAGTGAACATGTCATGATCATGCTCAAGGCCAGTCACCAAGTCTGGTTTTCTTAGAAGGGAATTTGTGTATTTTCTATTATATGGTCGCTGTTTGGCAAACCTACCAAGCAGAAGATCGGAGCTGTGTATCCAGTGATCTCTTCATTTTGTGAATTTTCTGATATATTCATTATTATCTTTGTGCACTCATACGCTCGTTCTATTTCACTGTTGCTTTTGTTGTCATTTTCCCTGTTTCTCTAGAGTATACTTTCTTCCAGCTTTTCCTGGGGAGGCCTGAGATAGGCGCTGCTTTGTTACCACTCTCTTATAAATATTCTTCGAGTAGTGATTTTTACCTGGTTATTTTTGTATGCTGCTCATAATAACTACCTATCTTGAATAGCCACTCTGCTCTTTATCCATGCTGACTGGCCTTGAGCATGCTTAACATTCATCATTTGGACTTTACAATGGAAGTAACTAACGCTCAGATAGGAACAGTAGCTTACACGCGATGCCACTGGCAATAAACGCCAGAGTACATCTTGAACACAAATTTGTTGGACTCTGTTACATACACTGGCTGATTTTATCCTTTCAGTAACAACAAGAGATGACATTTTGGGGACACTTAATTTGTACTTGTTTTACCAACTTGACAAGTACTATCTCATTTGATCCTTAAATAGCCTTACAAAAATAGGTACTATTGTAACTATTATTTTGGAAAAGGGGGCTGGAGGCGCAGAGAAGTCAGGCAGTGAGTCAGAACCATACACCTAGCTACTCATGGAGGTTGCATAAGTGAAGGAGGCGTACTCAGGACTGCATCTTATAGATGAAGAAACTAAAATTCAGAAAGATCAATGACTTCTTTACCTTTGCAAAGCAGATTAAGTGGCGCACTTGGATTTCACCAACTCTGATTCCAAATTTCCTGGCTTTTACAACAGTGGTATAAAAATTATTTTTTTTACAAGTAGAGTTCTTCATGGTTCTTGAAAGATGTTAGAATTCTAGAAAAAGAACTCTGAGCATTTCCTGTGCCTAACACTTAAATGAAGCGAAGGCAAGAGATGTAGAGGAAAGACATTAGGAACACCAAATAGCCACTTCGCACCATGAACAGCAGCTCTGGGCTGTTGGGAAGAGCAGTAAAAGCAGCCCGGCCAAGCACGCAGAGCCAGGGATTGGATCACTCTTTGGAAACAAATGTCACTAGCAATTGTGAAGATGGTTTTTAATCTACGCAATAAGTATAACCTTTTAGGGCTATATCTTTCTTATTCCTTTTTCCTCGTGTGTAGTAACCAAATGACTCTGGTCACTTTTTTCAACATTTTTGAAATACAAGTAGTCATGATGTTATTAACATAATGTCATGAATTTGTAACCCCCAAATTTAAGAATCCCCAAATTTAAAAATCCATTTTGGGACTTCAAAATTCTCCTGGTTCTTTTCTTTTTAGGAGAGAGTATAAATATTTACTACCAGTGATACGTGCTAGCAATGAAGGCATTATTATTTAGAGAGCATTTGATTTTAGTTTTTGACTACCTGGGGGACGTGCTGCTATCCCTAGTAGCTATGGTTTTACCTGAGAGCAGCTCTGTCCTTATTTATATGTGTGTCATATGGGACAATAACAAAGTCTGAGACAAAGTAATAATAATAAAGAAATTTGTACTGCTGCTGGAGGTCAGCTTTCAATTTTAAAACCTTATCAAGTATTATTTCTTAAAAATAGACAAAGGAATTATTAGTCTGGTTGAACATTCCTGCAGTTACCCCTCTGAAGGAGTCTATGTTGTTCAATTTACATTGAGTATTATTGAATGACTGTAAGGCAAAGAGTGTATTTCAGAGTTGCTGATCCTTCAGTTTCTATATGGAATCAATGACTTGAAATTCAAAATAAAAACATGACAAAAATGAACAAAGCACCCTCTATTGATATCTTCTAAACTTCTTTGAAATGTATGCATTTTTTATGTGTGTACTGGGAATAGAACTCAGGACCTTGCACTTGCCAGGCAGGCACTTATGACACTGAGCCATATCCCTGGCCCTAATGCATGTTGTTTGCATACAATAATATTTTAGTGAATTTTTTATGTGCTTCTTATGATAAAACATCAATTTTTAGTAAGAATATTTCACTTGTAAATGTGCTTCTTTGTTTTCCTGCATATATTAATAAAATATATTTCATGTGTCATTTTTGAAGCATACACTTATAGGAAACAAAGCATAGATACTATTGCACCAGTGTGTTAGTGGGAAAGCTGTTAGAATTGATCCGTTCTGTATATTTAGCAGTTGAAGGAGTAATATTTCACCTCTGCTGAGATGTTATACCCTAACTCTGGGAGTGAAGGAAGACTAGGGTTAAAATTCCAAGAATTAAAGGTTGAGCGGAGAAAGAGGAGTGTATCTGGAGAGTGAGCAGGAGCTTATCATCAAAATAAAACAAAACGGAGTCACCACAGAATGAGGACCATATTTTAAAATTACAGCATTCTCACTTAAATATGGTGAAAAAAGGTGAGCATCCAGATAATCCTCTGAATAGAGAAAGTCACAGTGGAATTCCCTAGGAAAAATCCCACAACTGTAACTGGCAATATCTTGTAAAAATTCTCAAGGAAGGTGTGACCATTATGCTTGATTGGGCCAACTTAATAAGCTTGAGAGCTCTCCCTGGGATTGGTGGAGCACACTTCTGGGTGTCTGTGGGTGGGTGATAGAGGTGTGACCTGGGTACTGGATCTGGTCCCTGGCTCTTCCTCTGTGGCTCTGTTTTCCTGCTCTTCTTCCAGTCCCTTCTGCTATGGTGTCTGCCTTGGAGCCCACTGACCATGGACTGAGTCTTCTTAAAACAGGAGCCAAATTCTACCTGCCCTCCTTTACTTGTAGTGTTGGATGTTGTGTCCAGCAGTGGAAAAGCTGACCAACATAGAAGGTGAACATAATGGGGTTATTTGAGTTATACACAGCTTCTTCAGGTGGTGAAATGTTAAAATAAAATCTCAGGGGGGAAAGTGGCTAGTGAACCTTATGGGGGTCCAGTATAAGACAGCAATGGCAGTGTTAACAGCAGCTGCACCCTGTGTGCCCAGTGCCGTGCCAGGCATTTTGTGTGCCTTAGCTCTGATCTCGTGAGCACCCTTGCAGACTCAGGGTTCCTGTGTGATTCCATCACCTGCTCTTGGGGACTAAGGAAGCTCCTGACAGGCCCTGTCTCTGACCCAGACAGGTCTATGATTCCTCCCTCTCTACTCTGACTCCACCTGGTGCATCCCCTGTGAACCAAGTCATCTTTGATTTCAAGGGCCCGATCTGAGCCTAGGTTGCATCTGCAAGCAGTCCCTTACAAATCTTCACCTCTGCCCTTGGGGCCTAGGACCCCAGTCCCGGCTCTGTTCTTCTTATTTTGACACATCACAGTGAATACACCAGTACGTAGGAGTTGTTTCCCTTTGCTTCTAAGATGTGCCCTCCAGAGACTAAGAAAGAAGTAAAGGTCAGCGTGAGAGATGTGTCAGATTCTGGCAGCCAGGTGCACTAGGAAGGGAAAGTGCAGTAAGGCCACTTCAGGAGACCGGATGTCATCTTCAGTAAGACCCCAGATGGCCAAGGGTGGCACTGGAAGCACAGAGGATCCCCATGAAATCTTGTAACCCCTGCTGTT